GAAAAGAAGTCAGAGGAAAGAAACCCAAACCCCTTTCCTCAGCCTTTCCCACGCAGCAATAGCGGCCCCAGGGCCCCTGTGGGTGCTGCTTACCAGGCTCTCTGCTGTCAGCTCGGGCAGCTCACACACCGTGCAGTGAGGATAATCCAGGACGGACACACTGCGGGAAACAGGCAGAGGGAATCATTAAGCACGTGGAGACAACTTCTGAAGATGAGCCACATGATTACACCCAGCCAGCTGTGAGATCTTCCTGCCCCTGCCCCCAATGGAACAAGGAGCTGGGCTGGGAGCAATCCCTTCTCCAGCACCCATGGGTGTCCCTCCTGCATTGCCAGTGGCATCCAAACGGGATCCCAACCTTCCCACTGCCTCCCCTCACAGCTTAAACGCAGCACAGGGATCCCTCTGGGCTCCCAGGAGCATCCCCAGTGCGTCAGGGAGGACTCCAGGGATTTGGATCCATGAAGACAGGACAGGTCATGGTGTATTTAAAAAGGGATAAAACCCAAAAAACCCCAAATAGATCCGAGGTTAAAATCTGCTGGGTTAAAATGGAGATGTCTGATTGGCAGCAGGAAAATTCACAGTGGGGGTGTCAGGTCTTTGGAAGCCCTCCAGGCACATGGACTTAGGAAAAGGAGTCAATTAAAACCTCCAAAGTATAAATTTATATATAATGGAAATAATTTGCCACAAGTCATCGTGGATTTGGCATCACCTCTGATGTTTCCCTTTGCAGCATCTCTGGAGTGGGGTCTGTGCATCGGAATGGGACCAAACCCCACCCCTGGAGTGGGGTCTGTGCCTCTGAGTGTGACCAAATCCCACCTCTGGAGTGGGGTCTGTGCATCGGAATGGGACCAAACCCCACCCCTGGAGTGGGGTCTGTGCCTCTGAGTGTGACCAAATCCCACCTCTGGAGTGGGGTCTGTGCATCGGAATGGGACCAAACCCCACCTCTGGAGTGGGGTCTGTGCCTCTGAACTGACCAAACCCCACCTCTGGAGTGGGGTCTGTGCCTCTGAGTGTGACCAAACCCCACATCTGGAGTGGGGTCTGTGCCCCTGAGCTGACCAAATCCCACATCTGGAGTGGGGTCTGTGCCTCTGTGACTAAATTCCACCTCTGGAGTGGGGTCTGTGCCTCTGAACTGACCAAACCCCCCCTCTGGAGTGGGGTCTGTGCCCCTGAGTGTGACCAAACCCCCCAGGACAATTCCTTTTGCAGGCAGTGCCTGATGTTTGCAGTGCTCTGCCAATCCAGGGCTCTGGAGTTTGAACCTCCCTGGCTCAGAGCATCCAGCTGCACATCCCCCCTCATCCACAGGTGTGTGTCCTGTGGGACACCCCCCCAGGGAGCAGAGGGAGGAGTTTGGTGCTCCTGGGAGACGTTTCCTCCCAGCTCACGGCGCAGGACCAGGAGTGGAAACGTTTCTGGCAGGAACAATCGACACCTTCCCGTTTTCCCACGTGTTCCCTCTCACACACACAAACCACACCGTGCAGGAGGCACACCCAGCCCACACACACCCAGCTGAGGAGCAACAAAAACAGCATCAAAAAGGAAGAAGAGGGGTGTTTTGGTTATTCCAGCGTCCCTCTGAACGGGGCAGTCCCACCCTGGTGAGCTGTGGAAGTGCAGGGCTCTCTCAGTTCGTGGTGGTCCCACCAGTTCCCTGCTCACACTGGGGCTGGTGCCTTTCTCAGATCAGCACTAGAAGGCAGGGACAGCCATGTAGAAGATGAATTATGGCCATAAAATAGGGAGAGGACCACGAGGACACTCCCCCCTGGCTGTTCCGAAGCTGTGGCCCGTGGGGGACACCGGGCTGCTCTCCAGGAGAAAGATGAGAACAAGCCCAGCTTGTTTTAGCAGTGGTGTTTTAGTGAGAGGCTGGAAACCCACCACCCATCCCTCCTCCTCATGCCAAGGGCTTTGGCTCCTCCAGTGAATTCCTGCCCCAGAGCCCTGCAGGGACTGGAAGGTCACAGGTGCCACCCCAGACTCCCACCAGGGTTCCTCGTCCCCAAAGCCCTCTCCCTGCTCCATCCCGCCCAGAGGTGGCTGTACCTGTTCTTGGCAGTGATGTAGGACATGATGTTCTGGTTGAAGAACTTGAGGATCAGGGGGATGCAGTTGGCAAACACCAGGTGTTGGGACACGTACTCGAACTGCGGGGGAGAGAAGGGAAATGGGGTCAAAGCTGGGACAACTGGGAGCTCCACCTGGGAATGGGAACGTTTCCAGCCCAGAGCAAAGCGCTCCTGATGGCTTGAGGCACCTCCCAGACCTTCTGCCCCCCGGCCTGTGCCGTGTCCAGCAGCTGGAAAATCCCCTTTGCCATAGGGTGGCCACAGGAACTCCGGGGCAGAGCTTCAGGAACAGCTGCACCCCCAGCAAATGTGGCTTTGCAGCAGTAAAGCTGTGATAAAACAGAGCCTGGGGAACAGGGAAGGAGGAGCTGTGGCTGCTACCTAAGAAAATAACAGTAATTCCTGCTGCTCTCCCGTACCAATCCCACCTCCCTTGAAAATTTTGACTGAAAAAATGTCCTTGGCTTCAGAAATGCTTTCAGTGTTTGTTCCCCCTCAAAGCATGAAATGGTCTTTAAGGTCCTTTCCAGCCCAAACCATCCCATGGCTCTGTGGTTCCGTGATTTCAGCCCTGCCATGGTTTTTAGGGCGCTCCCTGAGTCCTTTTTGGCATCAAACTCTGGTGATGCCTCACCCAAAATCACCCCCAGGGGCAGGATCAGGGGCACCAAACCCCCCCCAGCTTTCTCCAGGCTCAGCACCAGGGTCCTCCTGCCTTAGAGGGAGAAAGGAGAGGAGCTGGAGCTGCTCTGGAGTGACAAAAAGGAGGGAGGGGTCGTGGGGAACCCCAGAACAAAGGTGGGACTGTCAGAACAGGGGGGTTGTTTCGTTCTGCGGATTTAAACTTATCCTACTGTTTCACTTTACCCAATGCAACGTGTGGGTTTCTATTTCCCCTCAGATAAATATCAGTCAATAACACAGATGGACTTGAACCATGCTGAAACCTTCAAAAGAAAAGAAGTATTTAGAAATGCTTCAAAATGCTTGGAAAGCACTGCTTGTTTGACTGGCAGAACGGGTGGAGAGCTGGACCACAACTCATGTCAGTCCTGCCTTTTTTTTTTTTTTCCTTTAGATCATGGAAAGTCCTGGAGTGGGTGCAGATGGCACAAAAATCAGATTATACCTCGGCCCCAGACCTGCCTCTGCTGAAACTGGAGCCTCCAGAACGTGATCCTGCCAAGAACCAGATTAGCTGACCCCACTGAGGTCCTTCCCAGCCTATTTCTGGTCACTGGAGATGACACAGAGCACGAGAAGGTCTTGCCTAACCCCCTCCCCGTCCCCCTTCTGCCAGCAGGGCTCGTGCTCGGGCTCTGTCCTAAATTCTAAGCTGAGAGGCCACAGCAGGAATTGTTCCAGAAGTCCTAAAGCTCCTTCCACGTGAGTGGAAACGCTGCTGCCAGAACACAGCCGAGGGATATTTCAGGCAGGTTCTCCCAGCCTGGGATAAATCCCAACCTGGAGCTGGGATGAGCACCGTGGACACGCAAGCGCCCCACGGAAACCCCTCCTGGAACTCTGCTAGGAGAGGGTTCCTCGGGACACACCGACCTCAAGGGCAGCCTGGCAGTGGCCAAGCCTGCTCTGGGCTCACCTGGTAGATGTGGTTGAGCTTGAAGTGCTTGAGGAGCAGCAGCAGCGAGGCCGAGATGCTCTTGACGATGATCTCCTTGTGCCTGTTGACGTCCATGCCCAGCTTCATGCTCTGCAGGACGGTGATGCTGGCAGGGAGGCAAGGAGACAGCACTGTGGGTGTGGGAGTGGGGGAACACGGGGCACTGTGAGCTCGTGTTTGCCTGGACAAGCTCTATGGACACAGGGAGCTTTGTTCTTCCCGGGATTCCCCTTTCCATCCATCCTTCCTTCCTGCTGATGCCAAAGGGCACCAAAAAAAGGAGGGGGGGAAAAGTGGATTTCCATCCACCAGCAGTCCTGGGGGACAGGTATGAAGGACACCTTCCATATGCTGATGCATCTTCAGGATTTGGGTGGATTAGCAGGGTTTTACCATTTGGGTCACTCCTCCTCCAGAGCCCCAGGGCTGCCACCTGCACTGGCACCGTCACACCCCTGACAATCCAACAGCACCTCCCTGCCTTCCACCCCACTGCCCTGCTGGCAGCTCCCAGCTCTCCAAACAGACACCCCCAGCCCTGGAGCCCCCCAGAGCCAGCAGCACAGCCCCAGGCTGCTGGCACCGCTGGCACGAGGGGCCCCCGGGCAGCACTCACGGCATCTCCTCGGGCAGCACGTCCGCCAGGATGTTGATGGAGTCGGTCTTGGCCTTGGAGGTGGGGGCAGCAGCCAGCAGGATCTTCAGCAGAGCTATCTGCAGGAGAGGGGGGTGGGGAGGGTGGTCCCAGGGAGGGAAGTCCTTCCTTCTCCTCCCCTCACTGACACCGGACAACTTCAGGCCAACTCTACCACTCCACACCCAGCCTCTCCTTTTATCCCGTGGGAACACAGGCCAAGGGTGGGGTCATGGCAGCTCTGAGCTCAGCTTAAGGCATCCCACTCACCTGGGCTCTGCTGGTGTGGATAAAACACACAAAGGACACCTGGAACAGTTTTGGGCTCCCACCAATGCAGAGGACTGTGTTCCTTGCTCCCAATCCTCTGCCCACATCCTCTTTTCCAGCCACTGACCGTGTCCCTGGGTACCTGCACCCCTTGCTCCTCTAAATCCCTCCTCCTGGGCTGTGCCTTCCACCCAGCTCTGCTCTGGATCCCCACCAAGGTCTCACCATCCAAGTCCTGACCACCCCCCAGGCCATCCCATGCTGAGCTCTGCAGCTCCCAGACCAGCTCCCACCATTCCCCACCCCAAAGCTCTTCCCTCCTTCTCCTGGGCTTCCCATCTGCAGCTCCCAGACCAGCTCCCACCATTCCCCAAAGCTCTCCCTTCCTCCTCCTGGGCTTACCATGTACTGGGGCAGGTTGTACAGCATGGCTCGATACAACACCTCACAGGGGGTTTCTTGGACTTCCTCCTCCCCCTGTCACGGAGAAACAGCAGAAAACAAGGCAAAAGGAATTAAAACAAAAAGAATTCTTGGATTGCTCTGACACACCTGGGTCTGGTGATGGGGGGGCAGCAGCTTCTCACCAGAGACATGGGGCACTTCTCCAGCTCCTCCTCGTTCTTGATCTGGACATCCGAGATGGAAACGTACTTGTGCTGGGAAAACACCCCCCCAGAGGCACAGCAGTGTCACTACTGTCACCACAGGCAGCGGTGGCAACAGGCACTGCTTCCAGCAGTATCCCAGTTATATCCCAGTATCCCCAGTGGGGACACAGAGATCCCATTGTGTGGGATGTTCCTCTGTCCCAGAGCCCCTCACACCTCCTGCCTTGGATCCCTTCCACCCACTCCTTCTGGCACCTCCCTGGGGGTAAATGGAGAGGGACAATCACCTCCAAAAGACAGCCCAGACCAGAGACAGGGTCACTCAGCCCCTGGAGGGGCCCCCCTCCAGCTGGAGCACGGCTGGAGCCAAGGCTGGCCACGCTTCCCGCCGGGATCTGCACTGCTCTGGGATGGGTGTGTGTCCAAACCCAACCCTGGCAGTCTGTCACCTCCAAAACTCAAGGCAAGCACTCACCAGGGAGCAGGAATGCCATGCCATGGACAAAGGGAAAGTAAAACTGCTGGACATCTGCTTGGAATTGCAGGGAGGACTCAGATTTTAATTTTTTTGCCCAGGAAGAAGCTCCAAAAACCTTTCCCGCTACAACTAACAAGGAGGATCTTCTCACTCCCTCCAGGAACTGTGTTTCAGCCAGAGGTTATCCAGGAGGATCCCACACCACAACAGCATATCCCAGGTGCTGTGCATGGATCCACCACCTCACCTGCTTCAGAGTCTTCACACTTTCATGGATGGGCCGTGGGAGCCCGATCAGGGTCTCAGTGTCCCTGGGGAGGGGAAGGGAGGGGAGCACAGGGTTATGTGAGGTAAACGAGGGAGCCTGGAGTCTACTGGACACATCCCAGCTGGGGCAGGAACTGGGAGAGGGGTTGGTATGAGGTGTCCACCCTCCCATCTCCTCCCCAGGGAAGCTCCTCCAAGAAAGGAGCAACGTCGGGGTGAGGAACTGGGGTGAAATGAGATGAAATAGGGGCTGGGGTGGAGCCATCCTGAGCCCAGCACTGCACCTAAAACTGCCTGGCCCCCTCTGGGGATGGCTCTGCACCCACAGCTTGGTTTGTTCCTGGACTGGGTCATTTCCTGAGGATGCCAAACCGTTTCAGCTCCCTCCCACATCAAACTCGTCCCGGCCTCGGGCCAGGGGTCTCCTGCTCCAGGTCTCACTTTTGACAGAAAGGGGCCCTTGGGGAGCAGTGTCTCCAAGAACAGGCTTTCCCAACATTGCTCTCACTTGAGCTGGGAACACCTGAGCTTTGTGGACACCTCCCATGCACTGCTGGGATCCACAGGACAGGTTCTGGGGACGTGACACTCACTGTCCCAGCGTGAATCCGATGAACTTGTTCCTGCTTGCCTCCAGGAAATGCTCGATGTCCTTCTGTCTGAGGGAGCAGAGGAGAAACAGAGAGCAAGGAGGAGGTTGGAAAACGGATCACAGCCTTGGATTGATTTCTGGAGGTCCCCTTAGCAACGGGAAAAGCCACCACTGGTTGGAACCAAACCTGTTTGTATCTGCTGGGCAGCTCTGCTCTTCCACGGGAAAACAACCAACCACCAGCTCTACAACCAGCACCTTTCCCTCCACCTCCTGTGCTCCTCCCACAGGCACCCCCAGAGGAGCATCTGCTCGCTCTGAGTGAACAAATGTTGTCTCTGTGGTCTGCCCGAGCTCGTGCTGCTCCCAGAGCGAGCCGACACCTCCGACACCTCGGGCGTTTTCGTGGGAACTGCTCGGGATCAGCAGGACACGAGCCACAAGCCAAGGATCTCAGGGGCAGAGAAGTCCAGCTGGATTTCCAGGGCCAAGGGAAACAACAGGAGGTTGCTGGGGACAGGCTGAGAGCGTCCAGTGGCGTGGGGAACCACGGCACCGTGTGGGGAGATCCGTGCGGGAAACGATTCCCGCTGTGTCCCTCCAGATGGACCAGCTTAACCCACAGCAGGAGCAACTCTGTGTGCTCCTGTGTGTGCTGGGCTACAGCCAGGCCTTGGACAAGCAGCAACAGCCCTGGGATGGATCAGAGGGAAGGGCAGAGCTTTGCACCCTCTTTTCCTGACGTTCCCTCATCCCCATGTGTGGAAAACCGCTCTGAGGGGGGAAAAGGCACCAACTCCTTCGTCTGTGGATGTTTTTCTCCACCGCTCAGGAAGGTGCCACACGAGAGTCCAGCTCAGCAAGGCAGCTGTCAATCATTGACCAGTTCCCAGCAGGATCAGTTGAGGACCTTGCCCTTCCAAGATTCACCGGTGCCAGCTGGGAAAGCTGACCCTGCTCCAGCACAGCTTCCTTCCCAGTACAACCTGGGACATCCACAGTGGAATTACCACTGCTTGGCCAAGCTTGGGTTTAAAACCCTGGGGAAGAGCTCAGCTACACCCAGCCCAGAAGGGACCAAACGAGACGGAACAAGGAGCGGAGTCACCTCAGTTCAGCCCCCCAGGAGACTTCCCACAGGCTGACGTGGGGCTGGGGAGGATGGCAGTGACACCAGGGGGCTTTACCTGACTTTGGGGGCCCAGGGCAGCCCCTTGGGGAAGGACACCCTGTCGATGGGCGGGCGCTGCGGGGGCAGTGGGGGGACGATCGTGTCCCGCTCCAGCAGGTCCAGCTCCCCCTCGATCCCGCTGTCCACGTCGTCGTTCTCCTCCTCATCCACTCCTGCCTCGTCGTTCTTGAAGGGGTCTCTCTCGTTGTAGATGTCCAAGCTGTCCTGCTTCACCAGGGGCTGCAGCACAAGGGGAAGGAGGCACCCAAAGTCACCCCATGGATTTTATTTCCCTGCCAGCTGTCAGCACCAGATCTCTCCATCCTGGAAGGATCGAGCTCCCAGATGTTCCTCAGGGGAGGATTTCCCTCCTAGCCTGGCCTGGATAAGGAATAACTCCTTCTGCACCTCTAACCTCGCAGCTCTAGGAGGTGGGACCCCCTTATCCACCTTAACTTCTGGAGCTTCCATCCCACATCTCTTCCCTCGCAAAAGGCATTTCATCCTCAGGCCACAACCCAGCAGCTCCAGGAGAGGAGCTAAAAACAGAACCTGCTGGGAGCAGTTTGCTCCTGGTGCTTATCAGCCCTTTGTCAGAGGGTTGGGATGTCCTCTGGCTTCCTCTGCACAAACCCACCAGGGGCTGAGCTGCCACCACGGGAACTGGGGGGGTGGAAAACTGGACACGCCCTGGCCACGTGTCCTGAGAGCCCAAACCCAGCTGTGCCCTGGGCTGATCCCACAGGGATCGTGGGCAGCAGGGCAGGGGGGGATCCTGCCCCTCTGCCCCTTCAGGTGAGACCCCCCTGCAGAGCTGCCCCAGCCCTGGGAACAGCAGCACAAGGACGTGGAGCTGCTGGAGAGAGTCCAGAGGAGGCCCCAGAGCTGCTCCCAGGGCTGGATCCCTCTGCTCTGGAGCCAGGCTGGGACAGCTGGGGGGGTTCACCTGGAGAAGAGAAGGATCCAGGGAGACCTGAGAGCCCCTTGCAGGGCCTAAAGGGGCTCCAGGAGAGCTGGAGAGGGACTGGGGACAAGGCCTGGAGGGACAGGACACAGGGAATGGCTTCCCAGTGCCAGAGGGCAGATGGGATGTTGGGAAGGAATTGCTGGCTGGGAGGGTGGGGAGGGGCTGGACTGGATTTCCCAGAGAATCTGTGGCTGCTCCTGGATCCCTGGGAGTGTCCAAGGCCAGGCTGGAGCATCCTGGGCCAGTGGAAGGTGTTGGTTGGAACCAGATGGATCCGAGGTCCCTCCCAGCCCAAACACTGCTGGCCCTGCCCAGAGGACGTGTCAGCTCCTACCCTGCGGCTGCGGTGGCCCCGTTTCTGCTGCTGCTGCTGCTCCACCAGCTCGATGGAGTAGGTGGGAGGGGAGGCCGCCCTCATGCTCCGGACCACCTGGATGCTGTCCTCGGGCAGGGGGGGCAGCCCCAGCTCCTCCCGCCGCCGAACCTTCATGGCCTGCAGGGCCTCGAACCCGCCCAGCGTGAACTGGGGACAAAGGACAGCTCACAGCAGGGGGACACAGACAATGGGACGCTGGGCTTCCAGGGGCAGCAGTCTGGGGGATCAGCCTGAGGACTTGAAGACACCTCAGTGCTGGGTCCTTCTCGAGACCTCATCCCACGTCCCCACCCCACGTCCTCCGCGTGCTCAGCCCGCCCTGATCCCAGGGAGTTGAAGACACCACACCACTGGTTTGTTCTCCAGGGCCAGGGACCACTTCTCCCTACATCCTCTGCGTGCTCAGCCCACCCTGATCCCAGAGGAACCCGCCCCGTGTCAGCTCCCTGTGCATCCCAAAGAACCTGGCTGTGGTTGGGGTCAGTAGAGGGGAACGCCCGGGCTGCAGCAGCACTATCCCAAAGTAAGAGGTTTCTGGAAAAGAGGAGTGGTTTGCACTCACCAGGAGCACCTTCCAGAGCAGAAGCAGGACCTTCTTCATGGGGAAATGTGGAGCGTGGCCGCTGCAGAACTTGGTCACCATCGTGAAGAGCAGAAGAGCAAACGGCTCCTCCGTGTGCACGGGGAAACCTGCGGAGAGAGGGAGCAGGGACGGCTTCGGAGCAGATCCCTCAGCCCCGGGCTCTCCCCGCTGGCCCAGCGGAGCGAAGGGACCTCCAGAGGGCACAGTGGGCTGTGGGGCTCACTCAGCTCTGTCCTGAAGGTCTCCCGGCAGGTTTTCCACTCGGGCGGATCCGTCTCCTGCTCCACGCGGATGTTCTCCACCAGCAGGTACATCACACTGAGCAGGACCCTGCGGGGACAGCAGCCAGGACAGGTATGTCCCTTGTCACCAGGGGTTGTCCCGTTGTCCCACCCTCTCCCAGTGCCGGGGGTGGGGTACCTGAGCTCCGTGCTGTCGGCCAGGGAGATGGCCGGCTTCCGCAGGGCGCTGCTGCAGGCCTGGCTGTTCCTGCAGGGAATGGCGCGGGATCACCCCCAGCCCCAGCCCATCCCGGCCCACAGCACACGGCTGAGCCCGGGAACACCGGGATGGGAGAGCTAACAGGGCTGGGGGAACCCCCTGGGCATCCCTGAGGAGCAGCAGGAAGGATGGGGGGAGGAGGGTGGGGAGGAAGAAAGTGAAGATGAGGAGGGTGAGGAGAAAGAAGATGAAGAGGGTGAGGAGGATGGAAGAAGAAGGTGGGAAGGATGGAGAGAAAGAAGGTGAAAAGGAGGAGGATGAGGAGGAAGAAGGTGAGAAGAAGGGGAGAAAGGGGATCACAGAACCACAGAATCTTTCAGGCTGGAAAAGCCCTCCAAGATCATCGAGTCTAAGAAGAGGAGGGTGGTGAGGGCGAGAAGAAAGAAGAGGGTGAAGCAGAGGCCGGGAGGGTGAGGGGGGCAGTGGGATCCCCTCACTCGATCTCCATGTTGAGCAGCTCCAGGAAGGCAGAGAAGGTGCCCAGGCGGTAGAGCAGGAAGCTGTTGTGCCGAGACCAGTGCAGGACATCACCTTCGTTATCGCAGTCCCCAAACACACCTGCAGAGGAGGGACAAACACAGGTCAGGGGGAGCCACCTTGGAGCCCACAGGGAGCAGCTTCCCCAGCCTGGCACAGCCCAGGAGAAGGGTTCTGCCAAGGCTCTCCCGAGCCCCTGTGGAAGCAGGTCCGGGGGTTGGTGGTGCTTACCCTGTGCCAGGTAGAGGATGGCCCGGGCCACCCTGAGCCTCCTGTCCCTGTTGACCACCTCCAGCCCGTCCAGCAGGCGCATGACAAAGGCTTTCTGCTGGGCCCCGTCCAGCTCCAGCCACCTCCTGCCCGGTGCTGTGGGAGGGACACGACCACCAGCCGGGGGCTTCCCCGGGGGTCCTGCTCCCACCCTGGGGGGCTGCCCCGGGCCCAGGGCTGCTACCTTGAGCGTGGAAATCCTCCTCGAAGCATCTCCTGTTGTGGCTCAGCTCGGGCTCCTCGGTGTAGCTGTAGAGCTCTGGTGGAGAAAGGGATCAGCAGGGACATGGAGGGGCTTCATCCTCCTCCTGCTCTTCCTTGCTGCCAAATTCCTCGTGAAGCTTCCAGGGAGACACGGGACAGAGACCTGAACTGATCCCTGAGCTCTCCTGCAGCTCCAGGGGGCACCCTGGGACCACCCAGTGCTACCAAAGTCACCATCTCCATCCTGTGTGCGGGGGCTGTTCCCACACTCCTGCTCCAGCTGCACCTGCAATGTCACTGGGGTTTGATTCGGGGGGGAGGTAATTTTAAATCAGTTAAGGCAGTCTGGGAGGGGAGGGGATGCAGGAACACCCAGGTAAGACCTGTGCTGATCCCATAGCAGGCAGCTCAGGCATTTTGGGATCTGAAAACAGGGGCTGGACTCGGAGGGACACAATTGCTCTTCATAACCCCTACCTGTTCCTACAGAACCCCTACCTGTTCCTGGTCCTATAGAGTCCCTGCCTCTTCCTAGAGAATTTGTTCTCCTGTTCCTATAAAATTCCTCCAGTCCTGCCGTGCTGAGCAGCACCGTGGGGGACTGAACCGATCGCGCAGGGGAGGAGGGAGGATCCCTCGCACAGGAAATGTGCTTTTGCCAGGGCAGCTCGTGCAGCTGAGGCAGCCAGAGCTAAAAATAACCCCTCGGCCGGGACACATTTGGGGCCGCGAGGTTACGGGGCAGGAGCAGCGGGAAGATACGGGACAAGGACACAGAGCCCGTGACCAAGGGTGACACTCCCAGCCTGGGCAGTGCCACAGGACACCCCTCCCTCCTCCCGCCGTTCCCGGGGTGATCCGGAGCGCGGGGAATTCCCCGTGTCCCCGCAGTCCCCCCCTGCTCGTCCCCCCTCACAGGGAGCGAGTGGCTCTCTATTAATAACCCCCTCTCGCTCCGCGATGACACCGCTCCGCATCCATCCCCCATCCCGGCGGGATTCGCGTTCTCCCTCCTTCCCCGCCTGTTAAACAGCAGCACCGCCCCCCAAAATCCGCCTCACCTGCCAGCTCGGCGCCGTGCCCGTCGGCATCCCCGTACTCGAACTCCAGGCTGGGACAATCCACGGAGCCCTGCGGGGAGCGGCCCGGGGTGAGCGGGGCGGGCTGGCACATCCCCGCGGGGGTTTGGGGAGCCGGGGGGGCCTCCAGCGCTCCCGGCTCTGCTCCAAAGCTGCTCCGGCCACTCGAGCGCGGGCGGGTCCGCAGGGCTCGGGCTCCCCCGTTCCGTGCCAGGAGACTTAAAACACCGTGGAAATGCGGCGGGCGAGGGTAAAAATAGCGGTTCTCAAAGCCCAGGGGGAAGCAGCGGCAGGACCGGGAGCGCCGGGGAATATTTGACGCGTTTCACAGCCCCGCGTGCCCCAAAAACCCAGCCCGGGGCTGCTTCAAAGCTGAGATCCCCGGGAGGATGCGGCTCCATCCTCGGCACTCCGGACCCGCCCGCTCTCGGGGCCGGGCTCTGCCTCTTTGAAGCCCTCGGTGCGGGTTTATCCCCCTCCTCCCCCACGGAGGAGGAACTGGAGCGTGAAACTCCGCCAGAGGAGCCCGGCGGGGCGGGGAAGGGGCGGCCGCGGCCACGCGGACCCGGCGCCGACCCCCGGGAGGGGAACACGCGAATGGATAATCAACCCAATTAACATAATTCCTCCTTCCGAATGCCGGCGTCTCCCCCCGGCAGCCGGGCCGGAGCTGCCGCTCATCCCCGACATTAATGTGGATGAGCCGGGAGGTCCTTGGGGTGCTGCGAGCCCGCCGGCCCCACAAACCCCGCATCCTCACCCCGTTTCGGCTGCCACGCGAGGTTCGGGCAGTTAAAGCCGCCGAGGAATTCGGCCGAGCGCGTGCAGCCCTATAATCCGCTTGGAAGCAAACCCCGAATTCACGAGCTGTGGGGCCGCGACTCGGACGCCGTCCCCCCAGGAAAAGGGACCCTTTTTCTGGGTCAGGGAGACGCAGCTCCTGGGTGGGGGTGCCAAATCTTCCCGTCCTGTGCCATGCGGGCCCCGCGGGGGCTTTAGGGTGACCGGGGACAACGTCCTGGGCTGGATCCTGGTGATTGATCCCGGTCCTGCTTCCCCAGCCCGGCACCCAGAGCAGCCCAGGGGGGTTCGATGGCTTCCCCCCCCCCCGCGGTTTTTCGGGCAGGAAGGTTGAAGGGTTGGGGGGGGAATTGTGGCTGCCGGACCGTGGTGAGAGGGGGGAAGGGGACGTCGGGAGGGTGCGGGAGAGCCCAGGGGACCCCAAAACTCTGGTGCTGCTCTGGGAGTGGAGCAGGGAGGTACCACTGCCTGGGCTTAGTCACGACCCCAAAACCCCGGTGCCAGCTCTGGGAATGGGGCAAGGAAATGCCGGTGCTGGAGCTCAGCTGGGATCCCAAACCCCTTCTGCTGGAGCTCAGAGTGGGGCAGGGAGATGCCAGTGCTGGGGCTTAGCGGGAAACCCCAAACCCTTCTGCTGGAGCTGGCAGTGGGGTGAGGACGTTCCAGTATGGGGGGCAGCCTCCCTGGGGACCCCCGACTGCGGGCTGGGCACCTCCCTCCCCCTCAGAACCCCTCTAAACCCGAGGTCGGAGTGAGGGCCCTCCCCAAGACCGAGAGCTCCGCCAGCCTCCCGCAGGAGCCCCGACCGCGGGGCAGGGATCCCCCAGCCCATGCGGGGTCCCCTCGGGAGTGGCCCCCGCCCGTACCTCGGACTCCTTGCGCTGGGTCCTGAAGAGCTCCCGGCCCTTGGGCTGTGGCTGTGCGGGGAGCTGCGGCTGTGGCGGTGCCGGGCGGGCCCTGCCGGGTCCCGGTGCCGGTGCCGGTCCCGGTGCGGGGGTCCCACCGCCTCCCGCCGCCTCCATCGCCGTCACTGCCCCCCGAGCACGTGGGGCCGGCCCGGGACACGCCCCCGACACGCCCCCGCCGCTCCCATTGGTCCGCAGGGCAGGGGGCGGGGCCAAGGAACACGCCCCCTCCCTACCATTGGCCCGCGGCGTTGGGAGGGGCTGGGAAGAGGGGGGACACCCTGGGGGGGGACGGGAATTGGGGGGGTATGGGATGTCCCGGGGG